CTTCAAATCTCTGCTCTGACGTATTGACGTTTCTCTAACTGTTGCTGATGTGGGAGGGTACCTGCAAAAAGCATTTCGATGCTGAAGTCAGGATTCGGTTCTGAGCAATAAATGCTATTTAATAATGAAAAGTCAACCCTTTACCTGTGCTTTTACCTTCCTTATATAGGCACTGTAATGGGCCCAATGGGCCTATCGAGCTAGTCTTCATTTTAGCCCTTTATTTAAAGTAAATAATATCTTGATTATTACCTTAATTGGGTTAATTACCTTTTAATCCTGACAAGGGGTATCCGGCCTATTATGCTGAATAGGTACTCGGTTTCTTTTTCCTACAAGTAGGACCAAGTTGATCTTTATCCAGTACACTAGCCCCCCAAGCCCGAAGAGGTACGAAGCGAGAGCTTTAAATATCAGTGTTAAGGCTACAATAGGTAGTCGGTTAAGATGTCTTTGACTATACTGAGGGGGGTATTCGGTTAGAGTGAATTTGAATATACCGGAGGGGTATTCGGTTCGAGTGATTTTGAGTATACCGAGAGGGGTATTCGATTTTTAGTAGACGAGTGATGGTAGTATTTAAAATTAAATGTGTATCAGGTGTACACTAAAGGGTATTCGGTTTAGTAACATAATGATACAAACCGAGATAGTAGATAAAAAATCATAATATAAAAATACATAATTTGTAAAGGAATATTCTAGAATGTTGGCTTTTAGGGTTTCGTCAGCGGGTGTATGAAACGAAAAGGTGCCCAACCTTATCCGTTGATCTGAAAGGGATCTGACGGTTCAAAAGGAGGGGCGTCTTTTCGTTTGCCCGACACCAGATCCCCTATAAATATGTGGTGGTCCCTGCATCCATTTTCTGCTCTTTTGCTCTGTACCGAAACCTGCACATTGTTGCTCCAAACCGAAGAGTGTTCAAAGATCTTCAACTTTTCTTCCATACCGACTACTTGTAAGGTGCGTTTTAATTTCTCACTTCTTTTTCTTTCATGGCCGAACCTATTGAGTTGGAGGATTCTCTATCTGATGTCTCGGGACCGAATACTGTCGAAGTAGACATTATGAACGGAACTGAGGGGAGTAGCGAGGTTTCATCCATATCAAACAAGAGGGTTGAAGAAGCACAGGTCAGGGAATGCAGCAACGAAGCCGAGTCATCTGGTTCGAGTGATACTGACGCTTCTGAACCCCTACCGAGTACTAGTCCCCCTAGGGAAAGACAGGTGTTTTCCCCCTGTACGATACCTGGATATGAGTGGGTTCACGGTGAAGTGGTCGCGTACTTTTCTCGTTTTAGAAGAAATAAAAGTCTTCAACTCTTTGTAGATAATTGTGATATTTCTTTGTGGGAGGCGTCTGATCCATATCCAATACACCTCAATCCCTGCCAAGGGGACGAAACCGAGAACCCTGACTTTGTTTTCCTGGGGGGTGTCAGAATGGCCGACACCTTCTTTATGTACGAATACATGTTTAGAGAGTTAGGTATCAGGCCACCCTTTGATGACTTCCAAATGGGAGTTTTGAGGGTTTTGAATGTAGCGCCGACACAACTGCACCCGAACGGGTGGGCGACAATACAAGCCTTTAGGATACTTTATAAATTCCATTATATAGAACCTAGTGTAGGCCTATTTCTTCATCTCTTTTGTACATGCCCATCTGACTTAGCAAGGTGGGTGTCTCTAATAAGGCAACCCAAGTTGCCTTTGTTTAAACCATATGCTTCGTCTTTTAAGGGTTTCAAGACCGGTTACTTCAAGGTGACCGTGAACCCTGTAGGTAGAAATTTTTTTTTTTTATAGCGAGAATAATCCTCTCTTCCCTTTTCACTGGATCGGGCGCCTCGCCAATATGACATATGCCCCGAGGACATGTTATCGGCTAGGGAGTTGTCGGATTTAGAATTTTTGAAGTCCCTTCCCTGAGAACTACCTGCCCGACACGTAATCCTCGTACTCAAGTCCCCGTGTCCTCGATGGGATATGGAGGGTATGTATCGTCTCATTTTTAACTTATATTTGGAATCAAGTTGTATTGATTTGACTTGTTATTTTTAATGCAAGCTTAATGGCTCGGCGCAGTGTTGATGTACCGACCTTCCGTCGTACTCTAAAGCAGAGAATACCAGAAGGGACACCAGTTGAGGAACATCGTCATCCTCAAATCGATCAACTTCCTGAAGTACCAGAGCCTCGCCCTCCTCCCCAAGACCTTGTTCTTGCTGAAGGCCAATTCAAGAAACGCAAGGACAAGGGCAAAGGCAAAGAGCCCGAGAGGGAGAGAAAGAGAAAACATGCCCATTCGGGTGGGCCAAGCGGTGTAGAGGGGGCGCGCAAGCAAACCCGAGTCGCGGCTACCGAGGGGGGAAATAGTTCCTCCAACCCTGTAATTCCTCTGGAAATGCTTGCCGAGGGCTTCCTGACTATCGAAACTCATACTGGCCAGCTGGCTGCTCCCAATTTGTTGTCTGATTCGGGGAAAGAACTGGTCAACAACATAGAATATGAATCGCTCTGGCGTTGCTATGCAGAACTTCATGTACAATCAACAGCGATGCTCTGAAAGCTAGTTGTGCATCTAATTCTTGAAGTTAAGAAGTTAAAAACTGCCTATTCGGCTTCTGAAGAAGCTTTGGCAAAGAGCAGAGAAATTCAAGCCAGTCTTAACGAGACCATTCAATCCTTACAGGGTCAGGTTAATCAATATAAAGAGCACTTCCGGATAGTGGAAGACCGGGTTCAAGCGGCCAAGGAGACTTTGAGGGTCAAGGAGGAGGAAATGGAGGCGTTAAGGGTGAAGTCTTGTCAGATGGAGGAGGCCCTACGGGCCAAATCTACCGAGATGGAGGAAGCCTTGGCATTTGAAAAGAAAAGGGCTGAAACTGAGATGAAAACCTTTGCCGAGAAGTGTTCTCAGCAAGTGGCTTATGAACATGAGTTAAGTTTTAACCATGCTATTCGCCAATGCCATGGATTCTGTGAAGTTCTGGCCGATTTCCATTTTGACATCACGAAGGACTTCTTTGGCGGCAGGTTTATTCCTTACAATGAGGTTGATGATGATGTGGAGCCTGACGCGAAGCCCCAAGATGAATAGCCGCTAATGAAAATGCTGCTAATCCCGAGGTAGCCGGTCCTGATGCCGAGGAAGGGAAAGAAAATTAGATTTGTTTTCTTTGTATTCATGAGCCATTAGTGCTCAAATTTTGTAGCCATTAATTTTGAAATAGAATCTCTTTTTTCTCCTTCTCTTGTACTTTGTATTGAAAACTTGGTCATAAGCGATTTAACCTTGATCGAGTAGGGGTGTGCAGGAGGGAATTTAACTAATTCATCTTTAGCAAAGTAAAAAATATGTGAGTAAATTTTAATAGCGATTCAACCTTAACCGAATAGGGTACTCGGGAGGTGATTTTAAATAGCGATTTAACCTTAACTGAGTAGGGGTACTCGGGAGGGATTAAATTAATTTGACCTTGGCCAAGTACAAATACTTGGGATGGAATTTTAATAATGATTCAACCTTGGCCGAGTAGGGATATTCGGGAGGGATTAAATTAATTCGACCTTGGCCAAGTAGAAATACTTGGGAGGGAATTTTAATAATGATTCAACCTTGGCCGAGTAAGGGTACTCGGGAGGGATTAAATTAATTCAACCTTAGCCAAGTAGAAATACTTGGGAGGAAATTTTAATAATGAGTCAACCTTGGCCGAGTAGGAGTACTTGGGAGGGATTAAATTAATTCGACCTTAGCCAAGTAGAAATACTTAGGAGGAAATTTTAATAATGATTCAACCTTGGCCGAGTAGAGGTACTTGGGAGGGATTAAATTAATTCAACCAGGTGCTTGAAAGAAATACTGATGCATTAAAAGCCGGATAATGGAGAAGAAGTATTTTATTGATTAGGTGCCTTGTTAAAAACCTTCCCAGGAAAACTCCTTTTCACTTTCTTTTAAGAGGACAAAACCTGGGGGAGGAAAAGAGTGCACCGATTACAAATTACAAGCAAGTCTTCAACTATAGTAATGCTTTAAATGTGTAACATTCCAAGTTCTCGGTACAAGCTTTCCTTCCAAAGTTTCCAACTTGTACGCTCCATGGTCTAATCTTACTACTACCCAAAAGGGGCCTTCCCAGTTAGCTGCTAATTTCCCTTCTCGCCGATCTCTTCGTGCATCTCCGGGTACTCGCCATACTAAATCATTCTCATAAAATTGTCGCGAGTTAATTTTGGAGTTAAATTTTCTTACCATCACTCTTCTACTAGCCTCAGTCATGATGGCTGTCTGGCCACGCACCTCATCTGTCAAATCTAGGTTGACGGTCAGAGTCTCATTATTAGTTGATTCCTCAAAATTCTCCCTTCAGAATGAAGGCTCTCCAATTTCTACCGGCACCATGGCGTCAGTACCATATGTAAGCCGAAAAGAAGTCTCCTTTGTTGTGGTTTGCGGCGTGCACCGATAAGCCCATAATATCTCGGGCAGCTTCTTTGCCCATTCTCCCTTTGCCGAACCTAATCTCCTTTTTAATTCATGTAAGATCATCTTTTTGCGCCCTCAGCCTGGCCATTAGTCTAAGGGTGTTCAACAGACGTAACTCTATGCTTGATATGCAGGCCTTCCAAAAACTCATTGAATCACCGATCTATAAATTGAAGCCCATTATCTGTAATTAATGCATGAGGGAGGCCGAAACGTGTAATAATATTTTTTCAAGTGAATTTCTGTACGTTGTTAGCCGTGATGGTGGCAAGGGGTTTAGCTTCAATCCATTTGGTGAAGTAGTCCACAGCGACAAGGAGAAATTTACATTGTCCTTTTGCTAAAAGGAAAGGACCGAGGAGGTCCATTCCCCAAATAGCAAAAGGCCAAGGAGAGCTAATAAGGCGAAGGGTATCGGCATGTTGGTGGAGGTGAGAACCATGTTGTTGACAGGGAATGCATTTCTTCACAAACAAGTGGCAATCTTGAGTGAGTGTCGGCTAATAGGATCCGGCTCTGAGTATTTTTACTGCCATAATTTGTCCGCCCGAATAGGTACCACAAATGCCTTCATGGATTTCCTTTATGACGTAGCTAGCTTGGTCGTCGTCTAGGCATTTAAGCATAGGTGTTGAAATTCCTCTCCTGTACAAGTCCTTGCTGAGAAGAAGGTACTTAGCTGCATGCATTTTTATTTTCTTAGCTGAAGTTGGATCCTCTGGTAAGCTGCCATCGATGAGGTACCGGATAATTGGGGTCATCCAATTATGAGATGAATTTTCTATGTCCATGCATTCTTGTTTGGTGATGCTGGGTTGGAGGATTTCTTGATGAACCATGCTTTGCAATTGCCCTAGTTTTCTTTGGCTAGCCAGCCTAGCAGGCATGTCAGCTCGCTCGTTCATGTTTCTTGGCATGTGCCAAACACATACCTTATCAAATTCATCTTTTATTTTCTTGAATTCTTGGTAATATTTAAGCATAACCAAGTCCCTAACCTGATATGTATCATTAACCTGTTTGGCCACAATTTTTGAATCACTCCAACCAGTAATGCGTTTAACTCCCATCTCCTTTGCTAATCTGAAACCAGCAAGTAAAGCCTCATATTCGGCTTGATTGTTGGATGCTTTGAATCCAAACCGAATGGATTGTTCAATAGCGAAAGCGTTCGGCCCTTCAAGTATGACCCCAGCTCCACTACCTAGTCGGTTTGATGATCCGTCAACGTGCAGATTCCATATGTCTGAAGTAGTTTATCGTTGTAGAGTGAATTCATTGACGAAGTCGGCTAACACTTGAGATTTAAGGGGGCGTCGGTTCTCAAAATGAATGTCGAATTGAGATAGTTTAATTGTCTATGCTACCAGCTGACCAGCCAACTCTGGTTTCCTCAAAATTTTGGCGATTGGACAATCTGTACGTATGAGTACCCGATGACTTTGAAAGTAATGTCTTAACCGACGAGCTGTATGGATTAGGGCAAGCACCACTTTCTTCATTAATTGATACCGGGATTCGGGACCTTAGAGTGTTCTGCTGACGAAATATAAAGGAGCCGGTTCAGGTATTTCTTGAAGTAAAACCGAACTGATGGCGTTATCTGATACGGCTAAATAAACAATCATGTCCTGATCAGGTTTCAGTTTTGTTAACACAGACGGCGCTGCTAGCATATGCTTGTATTGGATGAAGGCGACCTCACATTCGTTGGACCAAGCGAATTTTTGGGATTTCTTTAATAATTCAATGAAAGGCCGAGACCTCTCTGCCATTATTGGCAAGAATCTAGCGAGGGCTGCAATCTGTCCGGCCAGTCGTTGAAGCTCTTTGACATTCCGAGGGCTGGCCATTTCGATGATGGCTTTACATTTATCAGGGTTTGCCTCAATCCCCCTTTTAAATAACATGAAACCCAAGAATTTACCGCCGGCTACACCAAATGTGCATTTTTCAGGATTAAACCTCATACCATGCTTTCTGTCTTCGCCGAATACCTCCTCCAAATGGTCGAGATGTTGCTTCAATGTGAGGGATTTAACCACTATGTCATCCACATATACCTCCATGCATTTACCCACTTAATTCTCAAAAATTTTATTCATGAGTCTCTGGTATGTCGCCCCTACATTCTTCAAACCGAATAGCATTACACGGTAGCAAAAATTTGCTGAATTTGTGATGAATGTCGTTTAACCATTGGCTTTTTTAACCATGACCACGTTGGCTAACCATGTTGAATACCTGACTTCTCGGATAAAGCGGGCCTGTAGTAGCTTACCTGTTTCTTCTTCTACTGCCTTTGCTCTATCATCGCCAATCTTCCTTTTCTTCTGAGCTATCGGTTTGGCCCCCTTATAAACCGATAAGTGATGACATAGAAATGTTGGATCAATGCCAGGCATGTCCGAAGCTGACCAAGCAAACAAATCGGCGTTATTCAGCAATATTTCCTGAAAAACCTGCTTTTCTTGTACATTCAACTCGACCCCAAATAAGTTACTTGTTCCAGTTTTGATCCAAGTTGGAAAAGCTGCTTATTTTCATTGGGCTCAACCCGACACCCTTCATCCGTTCTAGGATCCAGTTCCACATCCAATTCCTTCTCCAGCCGAGGGGATACAATGTTGACATCTCGGCTGCCCCCATGGAAAGGCTTAAGACATAGACTTGCAAAATAACATTCTTTAGCTATCTTCTGATCAGCATGAACTGTAACGATTCGGCCTCTTTCAGATGGAAACTTCATGGCCAAGTGTGGAATGGATACTATAGCCTTCAACTTATTTAAGGATGGTCTGTCGAGTAGTATATTATAGGAGGTATTTGTATGCATCACAAGATAAGTGACATTTACTCACTTTCCCTCGTGCTCTAACCCGAACTAGGTATACAGGTCAATGCAGCCTTGAGTCTCCACTCTTTCTCTAGAAAAACCAACCAATGGTTCATGATATTCTTTGAGCTCTTCTTCTGGGATGCCTAATTGCTTAAACGTATTCCAATATAGGATGTCAGTCGAGCTCCCCTGGTCAATTAGTGTTTTTCGGACGGTGCAATTAAGAATATCTACACTTATGACCATGGGATCGTCCTGCACCGGATCGACTCCTTGAAAGTCATCGTCAGTGAATGTAATAGGGGGATCCGGATTCTGCTGCCCAATGAAACATTATTGACAGAACGAACCTGCCTGAGATGCCTCTTCGTGGCCGAATGAGTGGGTCCTCCACCTGCAAACCCTCCAGCTATGGTATTAATGACCCTTTTAGGATACTTATCACGTTCATCGTATCTTCTAGCTGGGGGTTTCCTGGACCTACTCCTCTGTCGTTCAAATCTTTTGTCATCGAATCTCCTCAGTGGTTCAGTGTATTGATCTCTTCCTCTCTTAAAGTGACCGATGGGATTTGTTTGTACAAAATCTTTTAAATGTCCTTCCTTGATTAATTCTTCAATCTTATCTTTCAGCGCTGTACACTCCTCAATGGTGTGACCCCTGTTCTGATGATATCGGCAAGACTTGCTTTTATCTGCCCGAGGAGGGGCGTTGGCGCGTCTAGGTATTCTCAATATTTCTGTGGCCAATGCCTGATCAAGTACTCTAGACCGATTAGTATTGAGTGTAGTGTAGGAAGGATACTTAGGTCCCCAAGGTGGCCTTTCAAGTTCATTTCTTCTCTCATTTCCCTGCCTAGCCTTGAAAGCTTCTTTCCTGTCTGTATTTTTTGAATTGGACCCTTGGTTCATCCGTACCTAGTTTCGGTACTCGGACAATTCTTCCATCTGCATATATTTTCCAACCCGACTTCTTAACTCGTCTAGGTCGATAGGTGGTTTTTTACAGATGCTATTAACGAAAGGTCCTGGCTTTAAGGCCGTTGTGAGGTGGTGCATGGCCACTGCTGGCTCCAAGTTATGGATCGAAAGGGTCACTTTGCCAAAGCGTTCCATGAATGCTCTAAGTGACTCTCCCTTTTCTTGGCGAATGTTGACCAGCGCCAAGGATGTTAAAGGATGAGATCAGATGGTGGCGAACTGCAAGTTGAACCGTCTTGCGAGTGTTGCAAAAGAGTCAACGGATGAAGGGGGAGTCGGGTGAACCAACTAAGTGCAGGCCTTCTGAGTGAGGTGGGAAAAATCCTACACTATAAAGAATCATTCTCGGTGTACAGACTGACTTGGGTTATAAAGATATCCAAATGTTCCCCAGGATCTGATGTGCCATCACATTTATCTATTGTTAAGCCTCTCCAATTATTAGGCAGCTTAGCCTCCAGTATATAGTGAACAAATGGGCTTCGGCTTACGAGGTCATCTCGGTCATTTTCAGCTTCAGATTGATAAACCTTTTTTTATTTCTCTTGCAGTGCCGAGGATTCCCCTTGATCCTGGATGATAGGTGTATTTTGGGAAGGGATGTGTGTTCTGATCTCTCCTCTCAAGCTAGCATTTTCCCTTCTCAGAATCGAGAGCTCTAGTGCATCCTTCTTTCTCTTCTTTTTCATCTCTGCCATTTCTGCTTTGAGCTGTCTTAGTACAACTAAAAGGCTCTCATTGGTCCCTCCTTGCATCAATACTTCAGGTGTCGGTTCATCTGGTGTAACATTCTCCAACTGTTGCCGAGAGGTTCCTCCCTGTTGAGCATGTCCTTCCTATTGGCTTCTCGTTAGTATCATGTTTAATTCTGAAAAATGAGGCTAATCGTGCCCCACGGTGGGCGCCAAAATGTTCCTGTTAAGGTAACACAGGTCTTCAAGTCTCTGCTCTGACGTACTGACGTTTCTCTAACCATTGCTGACGTGGGAGGGTACCCGCAAAAGGCACTCTGATGCTGAAGTCAGGATTCGATTCTGAGCAATAAATGTTATTTAATAATGAAAAGTCAACCCTTTACCTGTACTTTTACCTTCCTTATATAGGCACTGTAATGGGCCAAAGGGCCTGTCGAGCCAGTCTTCATTTTAGCCCTTTATTTTAAGTAAATAATATCTTGATTATTACCCTTAATTGGGTTAATTACCTTTTAATCCTGACAAGGGGTATCCGGCCTATTATGCCAAATAGGTACTCGGTTTCTTTTTTCTACAAGTAGGACTGAGTTGATCTTTATCCAGTACAACATCTATTGAGTTTTTGACATCTAGTATAGAATATGAATTCATTTCCTGCCATGCCATAAGGTTGTTATGAAGAAGATCCCTAGAAAATTAACATAATGAATGAACCAATTAATAGAATCTACAAATTTTAAAAATATAATTGGGATTGAGTAAAAATGAGAGCAACCTCTCATGTAGTACATATTGTCCTAAAAAATATGACAAGAGCAATTATGAAAAGTAGTATTATAACATTATGATTGAAAAGATTTGAAGCTAGAATTATGAAAATATGTCATGTAAAAAACTTGATATTTTTTAAAATATTAGGTCTCCAAAATCATTTTCACTTAAGATTTTGAGTGAGTTGAGAAGACCACTAAGTCTTAACTAATCAGTGACCACCATTCTGTACAAAGTAAATATATTTCAAATGATGTCCCTAAATAATAAAGTTGGACAAGTCTTTTACTAAAAAACAAAAATATGACTATTTAACTTGTTTTGAATAATTGTAGGAAAATAATATATAATTAATTTAGCTTAAAACCTAATCTATCCTGTACATCTTTAATGGCCAATTGAAAGTACATATATAAACCAAATGTGCTAATTTAACAAGAGTCTCCAAAATAAACAAATGAGAAAACTCAAAGTAACTATCTCCATTACAAATCTTATAAGAAAAGTCATTATTTTAGTGCATAATAGTTAATTACAAGGTATTCCAAATATAAGACTTGCAGTAGTTAGTGATATTTTCATAAATATTATATTTATGTATGACAATTTGAACTTGTAAATACTAAATTTTGTCTGAACTTTTGATTGATTTGGTCTTGCAAAAAGGAATAAAAATAAATTCGTTTTTTTATTAAAAAAAAAAACTAGTTTACACAAATGTAGAAAACTAAGTTTGACTTCTAAAGTGGAACCAAACACTATAGAAGAGTAAAATTAATACTTAGCACAAATCTTTATTAAAAAAAAAAGATAGATTAAAATTTTGATCATCACTTAAAGGTCTTTAGGCATAAAAGAGAAGGAGGAACATATAATGTAATATCCTTATTATAATTCAATAATTTCTGTTAATAATATATAATATTTTTGAAATAAACTTGATGAAATTCGTAAAGGGTTAAAATAACTTTAGAAAATTGTACAAATATATGAATATAAACTGATGAAGGTTTACAAATTTTAAAACTTTATCTATATAAAAGTCTTATTTATTTTAAAAATAAAACTTTGTTTTCCTAACTCAAATTTATAAATAGAATGAAGTCTAAAATTTCACATTCTATATATATTTTTCAAGTTCATGATACAAACAAACTATTTTTTAGTAATATAAATTTCTAACTAAAACCTAATACAAATTAAAATTTAAACAATTAACTATTAAATGTAATATCCTTATTATAATTCAATAATTTTCATTAATAATATATAATATTTTTTAAATAAACTTGATGAAATTTGTAAAAAATTTAAATAACTTTAAAAAATTGTACAAATACATAAATATGAATTAATGAAGGTCAATAGATTTTAAAACTTTGTCTATATAAAAGTCTCATTCATTTTAAAAATAAGTATGTTAACAAGACTATTAGTATGTCTACAAACATAAATAGACCAGTAAATATATTAAAATAAGTACGTGAACAAGACAATTAGTATGTAAGGAGTCCAAATAATTATGTCTGCAAACATAAGTTATTATAAATAGAAAGTAACCTGCATGTGTGTAAAAATTAGGCAATATTTTTTATCAATAAAAAAAAAAAATAGACAAATTTTTTAAGCTGAAAGAACTTATAAATATAAGTTTAATGTCTAGGCCTTTTACTGTGAAATTTTTAAAATTCTAAGCTTAATTTTTTAGGTTAAGTTAAATCATAACATGGATGTATTACTCTGTTTCTATCCATAATTAATGATTGTAAATATATTTAAAAAGT